TCAAGGAAGAGAGGATGAATGTTAAATCTTGAGTGGAATGAGGATAGAATCTTTGTGGATGAACTAAGGATTGCTGCTTTCTATTGTTTGAACTAATTAAACTCGTTTGTTCGTTACTCTTTATTTTGATTTGAAATCACAAACCCTCCTCCCATTTTAATTGCTTATTCAATTAATGCCTTCAACATGTTTAATGAAGATTAATAGCCAATGTTCACGGGAGACAATCTAGGGTAACCCTAGTACTACATTAAATTGTTTAAATTTTGATGAGGATTTGCGACAAATCTTTTAAACACTTTAAAATAAACCATCATCAATAGTTATTAAATTTATCGAACTAGTTGTTAAAAATACAAAAGAAATATTTGAACTAACTTCAGAAATAAAGATGAAAGAAAGCAATTTTGAGAGAATATAATTATTAATAACTTGACAAATGTACCAAGCTTTCGATGTAATATAAAAAAAGATTGTCATACTCACAAGAATTGGTAGATATATCAATAATTTATGTTATCCTATGTAAAACTCTCAATTAAAAGCATGTAAGTATTCACAATTTGGTTATCAATTGAACTCGTAATTATCTAAGAAGCAAAGTAAATTTTAGTGAAAAAGAAATATGAGTTGAGCTAGAATTGGATCTCATCATTCTTCCCCTTCCATATTTTGATAATTAAACAATTAAGTATGAATATATAAACGTATATGCACTCAACATTTCCTTATATTGATTTCTCACATACAAGGTTTCTAAGAGCATTTATAAAATGCTGATTCTTCAGCTATTCAATCAATCAATCAACATTAAAAATAATAATTAATAAGCAATTGATATATTGAAATCTATCTCTAAAATCATAATAAATTGAGTGAGATTCATTAAATCTGTTTTCAAAATTTGTTTTCCAACTAAACCTTAAACCCTAAATCAAAAGACTATTTTGTAGAATAGAATCAAGCATTGAGCACCAAGGAAATTATCAACGTTTATATAAGAAGGAAGAAATATTATAAATGAATCACCAAAATATTCCAGGATAGAAGATTACATACAATTTTATTAGAATTCTAGCTACTCATGGTAGCCATTATAATACAATAAAAAGGGAAAAGAGACGAGGTAGATGATTTCTCTAGTCCTCTTGCTCTAATTCTCTTTTCTATGCTACTCTTCTCAATACTCTTTCTTCTCAAGGCATAATCTAGTGCGTGCTTTCTTACGGTGAGAAAGGATTTGAGTGTCATTTATCTTCCTCCTCAATAAGCTCCTAATAATTAGTAAATTAACAAAAAGTGAATTAAAATAAACCTTCATCTAAATTTCTAATTCAACTATGCTAACTAATTTCAATTTCTACAAATAAAAGGGGAATTGACATTTAAATTCATAATCTTGAAGTAATTAAATACTCAAATTTATATAAACGTTTACTCAAACTAGACACTTATCAATAATTAAATTTTATGTAAATAAAAAAACTTAATTTTATAATTCTTACAATTATGTTTTTAAATTATAAGTATTATAATTTTTAAAATTTATTATAACAAATTATTTTGTTAAATTAGTTATAAATAAATCATATGATATAATAATTCACGTTAATCGTAACCAAAACATATTCTCTTAATATCTCACAACAAAATTAGTAGCACAACACTCTCTCTTTCAGCAGATAATCTCTAAAAGCAACCAAAATATTGTAATTTAAGATAAAAGACATGTATTAAGGTGTGATGTGAAGAATCGTGAATTAAAATGAAGATATTAAACTGAGTAAAAGGCGAGTAAATATTTTAATTGGGATGTCAAATAATTATATTTAATGAGACAAGGAAGAGGACAGAGGATTTTGATCCTTCTCAAGAAAAGGATGTCCTGTGTTAAGTTAATTCCGTGTCACAACGATAACTTCAAATGCCCTCTTACATCAGACAAAGATGATAAGAACTTGTCTTTTCACTTTCATCAACACTATTAATAGATATCAATCCACCCACAACGCGCACCTACACATATACATTGAATTTTTTTTATTTTTATTAAAACTATAATTTTCTCATCTTATTTTTGTTATAATTGCTTGCCAACATTTGTATGTTTGTATTAGAAATGGACTGAACTCAACGATTGTTTAATATTATATTCTTAATCAATGTGTCACATTTTAGATATTTTTAATTTTACAAGAAATATTTAGCATAGACTTAATATTAAAATTTGATAAATTTTATAATATTATTTTAAAAATGACTTGCATCAAACTTAATCTTAAAAATTAAGAATTGTCTAACTCTTTAAAAAAATTATCTATAATTAATGTAAGAGATATTAATAAAAAAATTTGATTTTTGTTAAAACTTCACTTCTTGACATGCATTTAAGATGGTAGTGTAGTGTGATAAGTTTTTAGATTAAAACTTTATATTTATAATTGTTTTCTGAAACAAAGCATTATTGAATAATCCAATTGCATTTTAGTTAGCACCAATTTTGATGATTTGCCACAAAAAAACTTAGAAATCTTTGAAATAAACCAATTCCCCCGTTTGTTGGCTTCTAACTGGAATGAGATTGACAACACATAGTAATATCAAGTTGGAGATGTAAACAGCGTTGGACTTCTTTAGTTTTTGCGCAGTTATTTTTCACAATATATATTTTGGGAATTTCTGATTGGTGCAATTTTTTTTTTATTTCTTCTAATTGGTCAATTTTGGTTTTGTCGAATATCTTATCAAATTATTCTTATCAACTAACCTATTGACTTAGTTAATAGGTTAATGAAGTTGTTTAGCAAATATAAAATAAAGAGTTTATAATGTTTAACTTTAACAAGCTAACTATTAATTTATTTATTATCTTTTTAATAACTTACATTTACATAATAAGTTCATAATTTAATTAGTTAAGTTACTTAACACATTTTAATTGATTATACAACTAATTTTATTAAACAATTCGAAATCTTAATTTTAGGATAATAAACTCTCAACTTTCAACTAGTGGAAACAAATAGAGACTAACTTTTTGAGAGTTTATAGCCTAACTTGTATTAAGTTTAGAATTAATTTATTTATCAAATAAGTTAAATTACAATTATCGATAGGTAAATTTAAAGATATAATAATAATAATAATAATAATAATAATAATTCAAGACTATATAGTTGTTAATATGCGAGTGGTCTACATAAAAGCTTAACTTTATTGATCTATATAAATGTAGGTTTGTTGACTTATTTAAAAGACATTAATGTTTCCTTTTACATAAGTTTTTAAGATAAGTCCAGTTTTTTTAAAAATCAACTCTTACAATAAATATTTGTATCAAATAATTGAAAAATAAATAAAATATATTTAAATTAACTATATTAAGTGTATAAATCAATTGATACAAATTTATATTAACTTAACAATTTATCTTAAGTTTAAGTATTAAATATTCAAAAGGATAATTTTGCTGATAATAATAATATTTACTTGATTGGAGAAACTTTACCTCCTATAAAAAAGATATATGCATTTTAGGAAAAAAATATATTTAAGTTAAAGGCTTGTATTGAATTAGTATCAGTACCTGGATAGAAAACAATTGGAATGGAGGTTACAAGGTTTTTGATATAAAAAATTATCATTTTATCTAAAACTCGGCAAAGAAAAGATACAAGGAGACCTTTAATAATTTTTATGAAGTTATTTTATAAGCTTATCATTTTTTTTAAATATTTTTATATCATATTTTAAAAATATTTAGAAATTAATAAAATTTATTGGAACTCAAATTCCAGATCACAATACATTTAAAGTAATTTCATACAATTGAATTAACATAATTTATAGTCAATGAATTTTATAAGTTTAAAAAAAATATAATTTTATAAAATGATATTTTTAAATTTGATTAGTTTTAATTATAAAAAAATATCCTTAAAAATGGACTAAAAATATATTATTTCTATTAATACAGAGACTAAAAATTTAATAAAATTGAACAAGGAATAAAAAGTTCATATTTTTATTGACATCATATTTTAGTGAGTAATTTATTGTCTATGCTGGGACTTGGGCTTCAGTGTTTGACTGAAAAATATATCAGAACAAGCTGAAAGCCCAAAACTAAAGCAACAAAATATAGGTAAGAATACCCACATTTGGACCAAGAAAAAACAGAGACCCGCAGAATAATAGTGGATCACAAGTGGATGGTTCAAAGCATGGAAATAGCAGGATATTCATGAGCTATAAACCAGACAATTTGAGAATAATCATATTTTATTAAAGGCTGTTAGATGCATATTTTATTTAATTAATTGGTCAAATTGGGTGCTAACCATGGGTTACTTTGACTGTGTAACATTGACAGTGATAGTCTCCTCCGTGACTTGGTCTTCACGTTGTAATATGACGGTAACTTTTCCATCCAGCTAGAGTCCTACACGTTCCATTTTGGCCTTGACCATCTGCATTCAGAACGTTTTCATCTTGGGTCACTCAACAGTTAGCGGAATGACCCAAGACTTTTTGCTTTTGGTCAATGAATGACCAAGACTTGAGCACTAAACAATAGTTTGGGATACCCAAATTCTAAATCTCAAATTTTACCAAAGGAAACAATGGACTTGTCCAAATTTGTGACCTTGAACTCTGCTTTTATGTTGTCCAAGAACATCATTGTAACCGTTAAAAAAACACTTAGGAATGGGCTGATAATCAGGTTGCACCCTTGCAGCCACTTTAAGATTGATTGTGATTATTGTTTGTAATTCGTTGGGTTTGTCAGAAAATCCACCTCAAAGAAGGGAAATCAATCAATGAGATTATTTTTTTCTGACACCAGAGTAGAACATAAATAGTGAAAGAAGGCAAGAAGCTGAATTGCTGGAGGCTCAATCGACATTCCATCCCTAGACGTCAAACATATAAACGTTGATTACGTTTTTGGGACAGAACCTCAAAAGGACGCTTTGTTTTTTTTTTTTTCTATTATAAAAAATTTAAGGTAGGTCAAGTCAAGCCTTATCAAATAGAAATTTAGAAAATATATGTTGCCTTATCATACACATTAGAATCAATGTCATATAAGAATATAATATGAAGTAGTCATGCTTCCTTGATTGGATGTATTTGGCACCAAAAGGCTCGAAATTAACGAACAAAAACAAAGTAAATTATTTAATCATTAAACATACAAGACTTCACAAATCAGGAAACAGCTTGTACCACCCAAATTCTAGAAGAATATGAAGGCAAGGCAAACAGATCCCTTTTCTGGCAACCGTTATATTGGCCAATGTTCATATTCCACAGTTTATTTCACAGAATGAAGTGAAACATCAAAAGGATTTTACATTGAGAAGAAATAGAAAATATGAAATGCATGCTCGGGCCTTCGAATTCGAAGTACTAGCTGAATTTTTTCTATAATTCAATTTGATATCATTAACAAATGAAACAATACCATTTATAATTCTGTTACAAAATAACATATTGAATTGAAGTTTCCATTTTTAGGAAGACAAGAATTTGCTAGTGTTAAGTGTGAACTTCAATTTGTGGTAGCAGCCATCAATACATGTGATACAAAGGAGGCCCAAAGAAAACTCTGCACGTACATTATTAAAGAACAAATTTCTTATTCAAACATGAGCCTGAGGCAATTGGCTAATAGCATAATGACAAGTTCTTGAGACGAATTACGCATTATCATCTACAATTCTGAATTTTAAACACCCTAAGTCCTTAAACAGTGTCACAACCTATTTCACGCCCTTTATCTCTCTTCCTGTTATATCACATTATCCACGCATCTATCACTTGTTTCTTTTCTCTTCTTATTTCTCTATAGATGTCTACACTTGAAAGGTTGTCTAGCAAATATTTTTCTATCACCTATCTGCTATCAGAGATTTGGCTAACAGATCTGGATCGATCAAGCTCATCAGATGGATCCCAATCCAAAGTAGAGGATTGAATCTTAGACATAGTCATGAAAACCTCAGAAATGTTTGGTCTTGAATTTAGGTCACGAGCAACACATCGTTTGGCAATCTCAGCCATAGAGTATGCCAAATCCAAAGGGTATTCATCCCTCAAAGTTGGATCCATGAAACCTTTAAGTTTCTCCCTAACATTATCTCCTTCAAGAACATGATTCACAGTTGCTGACAGCATCTGCTCCCCCGATCCATTCTTGTCTCCACCAACGGCTTCTCTTCCCGAAAGAAGCTCCAAAATCACAACCCCAAATGCAAAGACATCCATCTTTGGAGTAATCAAACCATTCTCAATATACTCAGGTGGCATGTAACCTTGAGTTCCCACCACATGCCTTGTCAATTGAAACCCTCCATCCCCTTGATCCTCCACAGCTCTTGCCAATCCAAAGTTTGAAACTTTGGCTCTAAAATTCCCATCCAAAAGAACATTACCACTCTTCAAATTCTTATGAATATGCGGAGGGTTGGTATAGTTATGAAGGTAATTCAAAGCATCAGCAATATCATGAGCAATCTGAACCCTTTGCAACCAACTCAAAGACATGGGATTCTGGTACTTCTTCTCAGTGTGAAGCCAATCATCAAGAGAATCATTCTCAGCAAACTCATACACAAGATAGGTGTTACCTTTGTAGACACAAAAACCAGACAACCTTATAACATTGGTGTGGTTAATCTTCTTCAGAATGTTGATCTCAGCTGAGACATCTCCTTTGAGAATCTTAACAGCAGCATAATCTCCCTTGAAAGAAGCTCTATAAACAGATCCCTTGATCCTGTTATCTTCACGGAAAAACCCTGTTGCATTCTGCAAGTCCTCAAACTTGTACACAGTCAACGACTCAATCGCATAGCGAATCCCTTCAGAAGAAATAGACATCGATTGCGTTGTTGGGGTAGTATCCCACCCCTTCTTGGTGGCTTCGGTTGGGGAAGAAGCCGAGAAAGGCTTCGCCGGCGGAAGCTCCGGCTGCCGCCTTCGGCGATAGAAACAGAGGAAAAACAGAGCTAGAACAAGAATCACCAACAGAGCAACCCCAACCGTGACTCCAACAATGACCCATTTCTTGGAAGACCCGGAACCTCCGTTACCCGCCGGAGGCGGCGGAGACTCCGTCGGAGGCGCCGCTATCTGTATTTTCGTCGGAGGCTCTGTTTTCAGAGGAACCGAAATTGGTGTAAAGTAGTAAATAATAGAGGAAGAAGTAAGCTCGTTAGCATCCAAAACGCTCTGTTCATCAACGCCGAAGATATCAGCGATGGAAGAAATTGATTCCCCTTGAGACACCAAGTACGTGAGCAAGTACTTGAATCCAGCATCACGCTGTTTCTGGGTTGGACACGCACACCTGAGAGGCACGTGCAGGTTGAGACCAGCGGTAAGGTTGCGTTCCCCAAAGGAGTTCTGAGCCATGAGTGCTTGACACGTGGTGAGAGCCCGGTAGGTGATGTTGGCAATGGAGAAGTAGGTTTCTCCAAGGGTCTTCAAGGTGTAGGAAGCGTTGTGTTGGTAGTAAGGGCCAGAACAGGAGCAATTGATGGGAACTGTCACCATGGTATCGGCGGGGATGGATTGAACGTCGGTGATGTTGTTGGCGGTGGCTATGAGAGAGGGTGTTGCGTTGAGAAGGTAAGAGATGGAAGATGGTGTGCTGTATTCTGGTGGGGATGATTTGAAGGTTAGGTATGAATTGCATGAAGGGATGCTGTTGCAGAGATTTCCCTTTGTCTCGTTGTATTCATTGTCACATTGTAGTTGTTTGTTGTTAACGTACGCTTGTTGTGCTCGTGATTTTTGGATGGAGGAAGTAACCAGCAATAGTACTAGTGTTATGGTGGTGGCACACGAGATTGTGTATGTGGCCATTTTGGGATGGTGAAGGTGCTGGTTGCTGCCTGCTGCAGAGGTTTAAATGAATGCGAGTGTTTGTTTTTTTTTTTTTTTCCTTCTTATGTATCCTTCGTTTTGTGGGAATGTGGAAAGAATGGTGTGGCATATTCAAAGAACGCGTCTTCCAGTGTTTTGACTTTTAATATTTTCTGGTCTGAATCGACATCATTGTAAGTGAATGGGGTGGGGTAGCAACCAAGTCAAAGACGTTTTGTTTTGGGACTTCTGCAACTGAAATAATAGTTCATGAGTGAGATTAGATTTTTACTTTCTTTCCACCCTTGATTTACTATCTAAATAGTTGTTCTTTATGGAAAAAATTAGATTTTTTTTAAATTTCTCCACTAGGGGGTGAACTACTTTTTCATTTGCATGTTTCTGCTACGATATAGAATTTGTTATATAAGTGCAAGACTTTTTACGTCATAGGAAAATATGAGAGATATACAATTCCCTCAACTGAGGGGATGTCACACACAAGTTGTTTATGTGATTGGATAATGTACCGTCTACATCCCACAACTAATTTTTAACTTGCGAAAAATTAAAGTGGCAGGGATAGGAAAACTGAACACACATAAATAACAGTTGTATGTTTTGGACTGAGGTATAAACAGTTTTCTTCTACTGTCTTTTTTTAACAATTGTTTGATCTACCACATTTGTTTTGGCCAGTGAAAGGCTGGAATATACATTGACTTCAAAACAGGACAGAGGCAAAATGCTAAGAAAAATTTACATTGTATATTTTTAAAATTTTAATTACAATATTTTATATTTTAACTAGGGTGTGCCAATTATTCATAGACCACAAAAGTATCTCAAATGGAAAAAGACACCCCGCTTTAGACGTCAAGGCACATCATCGATGCAACTGAGACTGGGCCCCAAGGAAGAAGAGAGGAAGTTGTTCATCATAGTTTTTGTTTTATTTTTTTTAGGAAAAATTATTGTATTATGGTTTTTGTTAACTTTAGGTTGACTTCGAATTAGGTGTTTTCTGGGTTTATCCGACATAAATTTGGAAAGTAAATATGCAATTTAATAATTGGTCTTAGAAAGTTCTTTCATTACACAGATTAATCCTTGAAAAGAAAAATTTGTAAACAATTTAACCATTTCCGCATCATGAAATACTTAGTAAGTCAACCAATTTCGAATCTTAATTCATAAAGACGGATACTTTTAGATACCAAAACACAAATGATTACCCAAATATATGTTTATTGAAATCAGTACAAGAAGTATGTATGCGTAGCAATTCAGATAAAAAAAAAAGTTATACTATCACAAATAACTTCAAAAATGACAGCTTGGAAAGGATAGTTATTTTTCTATTACCATATGTCCCAATCATAACAGCACAAACAACACTGCATTAATCATTAATAGTTGGTACCTTGACAACTCAAGCCCCATTTCACTTGGAAGAAAGCACTTTCGCTGTTAGCTGATCACAATATCACGACCACTTAACAGGTTATAGGTTTTAACCAAAACATTGTATCTTCTTTATGATGATAGTGAATAAAGTTTTATTTTTTACACAAATTGTCTTTTACATTACCTCTATGCCTCCATTTATTAAGAAAAGAGAGAAAAACTCAAATTCCTCCTCTCTTTTTTTTTTTACCATATATAGAGAGTGAAAGAGTAGGTTCAATAAAATTTCAATGTAAAATTATCAGAATAAATGTACATTACCAATTACTAATTTACTCATTTACAAACTCTCTCTCTCATCAATGCTTTTTAAAAAATAAGATAATTATACCTTTAGTTTTTATAATTAATACTTATAAATTAGTCTTTATATCTAAAAACATGTATTTTAGTCCCTATACCATTTTGTTATGTTTTAATCTCTATTATTATAACATTATTAGTAAAATTACTGTTCACTAATATTTTTTAAACTGTGTTATAAGAACGTGAACAAAAACCTAACAAAATATTGTATAAAGACTAATTTGAGAATGAGTATCAAATATATATAAGGACCAAATGTGTATTATATCCAAAATCATGGAACACAAATTTGTGAAATAACAAATTAATCAAATGAAGCAGCACCAAAAGTTAAAGGATTCCATCCCAATGACATTCTATGCATCATATCAAATGGTTCAACTGCTAATAAACTTACAAATGGAAATCAAAGCCCAACTTCTAACTGTACTTATTGATAAAGGATTGATTAGTGAAAACAGTAGAAGAATACTCTATACATTTTATTGACCTATAATCACTCATGTTAAATCTACAAAGGAGAAGAGAGCTCCCTTTAGCTGACTGTGTATGTATCTATGTGTGTCAATCGTACTTTCTTTTGCAGCTTCCTAGTCGGAAAACTCTGAAAGAAATGTAAGCAAGCCCTAGGAATGCAAGAAGCAACACTGCAGCAAAAAAAATGAAAAATATCCCTTAACCAAATGATAGTAAGAAAAATTAGAGAATCCACAGAAAAAAATTAATCATACTAGCATGAACACTTTGAAAGAATCGAATCCAAAGTACAAATATATGCACACACGAATGAAAGGGTTCATTAAGTCATGTCTTGGAGTGTGTGTACGTGCATGTGCTTTTGCATGCATAATTTCATTACAATGAATCAACACATATTCCAACTTGGATAAAATGTCAAGCAATTTGAACTTAGAAGTGACTTACCAACTAAGGCAAAACAAAATAAGATTGCCAGGCGATATCTTACAATCCATGGCAAACTAACTTCAAGAGTGCAATGCCTCTTATTATGTCCTGCTTTTACTCTGTCCCCAGTCTCTGAATCTGAATTCAGTGGTTGTAATTCCATTAATGAAACATTGACCTCTGTAACAGCAACACCATTCTTGTCTCTAACTTTGAATTTCAAAGTCACCGGGTGAGAGTCCCAATCTATTTCAATAGTTCCAAAGTTTGGCTGGCCTAACAAAAGCCCACATTTGAAACATCAAAACAAAGAAACCAAGGTAAATATACATACCCAAAAAATAAGGAGGAAAAGTTTACCATATATACAAGAACGGTATCGGCAACTTTGGCCCTTAACTCTCATTGTAGATGGGGTCAACCATGCCACAAATCTCACTAGAAAACGCAAGAAAGGTGGGACTACCTCCTCAATTGATTGAGTAACCCCACTTGAGGTTACATCATATAGTGGGTAGTCCAAAGCACAGTCATATCTTGTGATTTCCCCAAAGTGAACATCTCCACTTATAAAAAATACTCCACCCCTCTGTACAGGAAGGATTATTAAGATGTGAAAAAAATAATGAATAACAATATTACGTAAATAACACCATAGATGAAAAACATAGAAAACCAAGCTAGAAAATGAGTGCACTGAAAGTTATTACCTTACTATAAGCTATTAATTTGAAAAGGCGATCTCTTTCCTTTGGAAAATGACCCCATGATTCCATTGAGAACAATGGATGAATGGTTGCTGAAAGATTTGATATAACCTGATATATAGATTAATTGAATATATAAATGTGTATATGAAACAGGCAAACGTGATCAAACCAGAGATGGACCTATCTACAGGAGAGTTTGACTCCTCAAGCCTTTAAAAATTTGTGATAACAACGCTAGTTTTTATTTTATCCTATTATTTTGATGATTCATCCCCATAGTCTTCATAAAAATTTTGGTCTATAGATTTTTCCATTGTCCCCAATAAACTAAGATTTCTGGATTTATCACTAAACCAAGCATTGAATAGTTGGAATCTCTCAGGTATGAGTCATGTAACTGCATATTGGCTAAGATAACTAAATCATCAACATGACAGATAATACTACAATAAATAATAGTAACAAATTTCATGTTAACTACATAAAGAAAGGAGAAATATATCTCAATTTTATGAGGTGCAACACTTCAAGGAAGAAAATTGAATTCTACTGAGATCAGCAAGATTTCATAAGTAAAAGCCCAAAAGCTACTAAAATGCAGAACTTCACTTGCTCAGTCATTAAAACTACCTTCTTTTTACCTTTACCAGTCAAACTTATCTATACACAAGGCACCAAGAAAATGAGTATGACAGTTGATAAGGTAGTGAAAACTAATAAATATATTGATGTTATATTATATATTATGTTTAACACTAAATAAAATTACATTCTGATTAATCTTAAAGATAATAATAACAATTGATAACCAATTCTTGTACCTGAATAGAAGACCCAATAATTGTAATGGCTGTTGGTGGACCCTTTAGCTCTCTCTCCAACCATAACCATTGTGAATCACCTAAAATGGTTCCATCACTTCCTATAGGGTCTCTGTGGTATCTGGTATCTAGGAGGACAATCTGAATAGTTTTTCCCAATCCACAATAAAAGCAAGTATTAAACAAGATGCATGATTAAAACATAAAAGTTAAAATTCCATTTAGAAGCAGCTCTGCAGTTTTATCCTTACAGTCACAAGACATTCAAGATGATCATCATGTAGTGGCTACCAGCTTACCACACATAATAATCATGAAAGGGTTTTATGAATTAAAAAAAAGAATAAAGTTGATATTTTTAATCCAGTCAATACCTTGACATCTCTGCCCACAGGACCATAAGTATATGAGGCATATACACCAGCCTGTTTCCTCCTGAAAATTGAAATAAGAAGCTACAGTTAGAATCTAAATCTAAGCTTCTGCCGATGAAAGTATATTAATGATTGATGCATATATTAATCAGAGACTCAGACATGAAAAATTGTCTTCACTCTCCTTGAAGAAAATTGAGATTTCACAACCATTGATATGCATTGTGATATTCAAAAACTCCCCACAGAATCAAGTGAACAATTTTATAAATACTCGTGAATTATCTTGGATAGAATGTACAAGAAATAAGCCCAAAATAAAGCATAAAAATAAGTCAAAGATGCTAATGCAGAAAAGGAGATTATCCACCCACCGGAGGCTGTCTTGAGGTTCATCCAAGAAATCAAGAAGTAACTTTTGGTTGATGATTTTTCCATGAAATTCTTTTCCTGCATTATTTAATCCATAATCGTGATCATCCCATGTACCAATAACCTATAATAACATTCCAAATATAGTAGTTAGGCTAAAGAAGTTGAGTAAACACATCACCATTTTGTAAAACAATCCATAAACATTTGAACAATATTCTGCTTTCAATGAGAATATGAACTAGAAAATAAAAACAAGTATAAAAACTTAAAATGAAGCACCTCAGCATTCTCTTTAAGTCGAGCATAGCCAGGGTTAGAATTAGCCTTTCTGTATCTGGCCATCATTTCCGGCTCAGAGGACGGTACAAATCGTGGAACATTCTTCCATGGACCAATAGTCCTTTCTCGTCCAAATAATTTAAAAGGTCGTTTGGTGTCTCCATAAATGTTATCACCAAGCCATATAAAAATTTGGGGATGGAAGTCTACCACTGCATCCCAAATGTGCTGTCAAAGAAACACAAGACAAAGCATATACATATAAATGAGCTGACGTGAAAAAAGTTAAAGCATAATAAAAACTAACATTGATCTTCTCCTTAGATTAAAGCAGCCAAATGAGGCTGCAAACCCAAATTGAAACCAAAAGTAAATCAAAACGTAACTCCTCTCATTTAATGTGTAGCTCTAGCTCTGTGATTTCTTGAAAGAGGTAGCAAATATCATATCTAAATGAAAAATAAATAGCTTCCTGATTTTACTTCAACATGAATGATTTCAAGTGGTAAAAGTGTGCAACAGACAAGGAATTGAATTCGTTTCCCATATAATTAACTTTGATTTCTTGTAGGCTGGGATAAAAATTTCAAGTGCATCTCACCCTTTCTGAGAAGAATTATATCATACTATGCATCTTTATCCCAACCTATACTTGTCAGAAAGAACAGAAAACAGGTTCCAGAACTTAAGCAAAATTACAAACAAAAACAGTGCTTGGGTTTGTTACTTTTACATAAAAATAATCTCTCTTTTTATTATTTTACAAAAAAAAATGGAAAATTTATCCTTGATAGAATTTAACAACGTTTTTGTTTTTTTTAAGTTGAGTACAGAACTGCAGTTTGCTTAAAGCTGACGTAGCATTGGGATTGCAAACAGCACGTTAGTACAAGAATTGGGTCATCATGGTTGAAACAAAAAACAGAATCATTAGCATATCAGCTCCATTAAACGACACTGCAACATGGGCAAAAAATTAAACAAAGACAGGACAAAACAAAAAGAAAAGTAGAAGAAAGATAAATAAAAAAGCATAACAAAATAGAAAAATTTCGGAACCTGAGGAGCGCTTTGGTTGGAGCATGATCCGAAGGCAATTCGAGACACCACCCGTTCCTGCTTCTCCTCACTGTCGGAACCGGTAACGGGCATAGCAACGCCAACCATTCCGATCAGAACGACGACGTTCCACCACCGCCACCGACGTTGATAGATACCCATTTGCCCAAATATCACAACTTTGAATTCAATTTTTTCTCAGAGATCATGGAAAGGGAGCTTTCTCAGAATTTGAGACCAATGGCAGACACAAAAGAAAGCTTTCGGTTATTATATAATACTTTTTTTTCTCTCTTTTTTATAAACTTCCCAATAAAAAATAAAGAGAATTGAAAGTAACATTTTTAAAATTTAGGAATAAATAAAATGTCATTTTTCATATATTGAACACAAAATGCTTCTGTTTTGCTGCAAGAGATCACCTTAAAAAGATTCAGAGAAGTAATATAAGTTTGTAAATTATAAGTTAACATTTTTTAATGGATTTCTATAATTTTAAATTTAAGGTTTATTAATCTACTTTAATAATAGTAATAATAATGATAATAATAAAGTCTATCTATATTGTAAAAGAAAAGCGAAATCCATGAAGGAATGTCTCAATTTGCAATTCATGGACGAAGCTTTTACCATTATCCATATCCATAGGGAACCAACTTTATGAGCCGCAGTGATTGATAATGTTGGAGTTTGTGTAGACTGTAGTTGACCATTGACCAAACATGGAACCCATTTCTCCTATGTCATCCAAAAGCATACCTTTAAGGCGGGAAATCTGGACATTGTGCAATGAAACAAATCCTATATTATCACTTTCAACAGTTACACCCACAAAAAATTTGAGATTCTAAACAGAAATGCATATCCTCCCTTATGGCAATGGCCTCAATAATTGAGGCATCTTTTGTTCATTTGCTTTTTTACTGATTGATAAGCAAGTATTCACCTTGTTCATTGCCAACATTATGTTGTGGGCAAGAACAGGGAACTAGGATTAGAGGAAGAGGAATGGCCACGTGATTTTTCTTTCTCCAGTGATTTTGTTAGGCACGAGAATTTATATTTAGAATAGTAAAATAGTTATACATTATAATCAATAATAATTATCAATACGATGTACTGTGTTTAAATATCCCATCATTCCTGCGTGCATTTTCTATTCAACATCAAACATCTTCTACTGCACTCTGATCCAACCAATTGTTAAACTAAATTACTTATACATGAAGTGTGTCAACCAGGATTCTCCCATATATCAATTTTGCATAAAACAATGAAATCTAAAACTTGGTCAAAGAAGATGAAAAAACAATTCCCAAATTTATAAACTACAGACATAAAAATATTCTAATTCAAGTGTTCTAATACTTTCCACACAAATATTGGTCAAACTAAATATGCTGAAATATAATACAAGAAGTCTTAAAGGAAAAGCCGGCTATTATATTTCGCGAACAATTTGATGATCCACTCCATGCTTCTAATGAGTGGAACTGCTCCCATGGGACAATTCCCCAAGCTCCAAATTTCGCAACATATGTATGTGGAATATGAGCTATCTTTGGCCAGTCTCTACCAACACCTTTTCTGCATTCCGCCTCAAGAGCTGAACATTCATGTATTGATAGATGCTGAAGGTTGTTCAAGTGCCTCAAACCTTCTGGAAGTGAGTCTATATTATGACAGTCTGACATGACCAAAGATCGAAGAAATGCAAGATTATGAATCCACACAGGAAGAGATTTTAATCTAGGACAACTATGTATTTCAAGAGTTTGTAGTGAGGTCACATGCTTCAAGCTTCCAGGAAGAGATGACAGATTTGGGCAACTCAAGATGTACAAACTCCTTAGCATTGAAAGGTTACTTAGTTCATCAGGTAAATGATTCAAAACTGGGAAATACATTATTGCCAAGTGCTCAAGAGCAGTGAGACATTGCAGTCCAGTTGGTAAAGAAGTTATGCTATTGCAATTTTCAATAGATAAGGAATGGAGTTTGTGTAAACCTTGAATACCTTCTGGCAAAGCTACAAGGCTATGACACTCACTTAGCTCCAAGCATTCCAATGAGGATAGCTTTTGCACATCTTCAGGTAAGGTAAGAAGCTCTTCACACCAACGAATTATCAATGATTTAAGTGCCATCAAACATCCTAAGGTTGAGGGAATGGAGTTGAGATTTCGACAGGAGCTAATAGTTAGAGAAGTGAGAGAAGCATTGTTTCGAAGTAAGCTTTCTAAAGGAACCAATTGCCCTATAAATTGATCTATAATAAGCGTGGAGAGAGAGCAAGTATTCCTTGCTGATAATAGTATCATCTCATCACAGTTCATCAATTCCAAATGTTCAAGAGATGGAATAGATGGCATGTTTTTCAACTTAGGACATCTCCTGATGGTTAATTTAATAAGGGATGGAAATTCTTCTCCACCATTCATACTCCACCAAAATTCCAAATTGGGAAAATCTACAGTGGATAGCTCTTGTAACAACACGAATGTCCTTCCTGAGCATCTACCATAGAACTCTTTGCCAATGTTTGTCACACTATGCATTCCTTGCAAGTGAATAGTTTTCAAGAATGAAAACTTTCCAAGTGTGGGGAGATATTCACATCTCCTACAATTATTCAATACCAATTTGGTTAGACTAGGGAGTTTAACAACACCAATCCATCTTGGAAAGCAGATACCTGGATATCCTTGAATATCCAAACTCTTCAAATTTTGATGTGGTTCAATGCACTCAAAAACTTCACCATTCAGCTCGCAAGACTCATTTCTCATTGTCAAATTTCACGATAAACTTAATGAATGAAGATGTGGTTTTCTACTTAAGTATGCCATTGCATCCCGAGGTAGTTTTACATGCTCCATTTGCTTAATGTGCAGCTCGCCCTTCAGCTGTAGTCTCTGTAATTGCATGAGGCTTTTAACAGGCAGTGTTTGAAGCTGCAGCAACTGTCCAATATGTTCTGGCATGTGAGTTAGTCTGTCACAACCTTTATTTTCAAATGACTTAAATTGAATAATGTACATAACCCCGTTGGAAGTTCAATGAGTTCATGGCAGTCAGAAAGATCTAAAACTTCAAGCTTACTAGCATGGCAACAAAGCGTCTCTGGCAATGTCTCAATGACTGTGTGTGAGAGATCTAGATACCTTAAAGATATCAAAGAGGAAATTGAGTCATGCAGCCTTTTAATGCCACTGCTACTTAAATTTAGCACACGTATATATTTAAATTCTGCAAACCAATTAGAAGGGCCTTCTCCAAGGTGGTCTTTGGGAGAAAGTAAATTAAGGCTTCTCAATTTCTTAGCCTCATACAAGTTTTCTGGAATGGCATGTGCTCCAAAGTCAGAAACCACGGATGTGTGACGAGTTTGGGAGAGATATCTTGGCACAGTACTAGATTCTATTATCACAAATTCATTCCCAGCAACCAATTGCAAGAGGTCATGAACAAGATTGTGCATTCTGCATTCTATTACATCACCATCACTGCTCCTTCTGACAACCTCAAAGAAAGAGATCCACATTAAGTCCTTGAAATATTCATCTCCAATGTCTTCAAGTGATTTTTCTCCTTCAGATGATTGAATCAAGCCTTGTGCAATCCACATTAGAATTAACTTCTCCTTCTCAATGACATAACTCTTGGGAAATATAGAGCAGTACATGAGGCATGCTTTCAGATGAGATGGCAAATGACTATAACTTAACCTTAAAGCCGGCAATATTCCATTCTCACCTTTAAGCACATTCCATAGTTCATTCTCTTTCACATACAACCAATTCCTTTCATCTCTTTTCAAGCGCATGAGACTCCCCAAAGTTTTTGCAGCCAAAGGTACACCTCCACATTTCTTCACAATCTCTTTTCCAATTGGCATAAGCTTTTGCTCGCACTCCTCACCATGGATAAAAGCCCTTTGCTTGAACAACTCCCAGCAATCTTCATCAGATAAACCCTTTAAATAATAAGAAGATATTGTACCCATTATTGAAGCAACCTTTTCACTGCGGGTAGTAACTAAGATTTTGCTTCCCTCTACACAACCACTCAGTAGGATCCTCAGTTTATCCCACTCATCATGATCTTCATTCCACACATCATCCAGTACAAGTAAATATCTTCTATGCTGCAACAAATCCCTGAGTTGACACTGCAGCACATCCATTCCAGCAACTTCACATCCCCTTTTGGTCACAGACTCTATGATTGATCTCAGAATGTCCCTCACATAGAAATCTTCATTAACAGAAACCCATATTTTCACATCAAAACCTCTAGTCACCCTCTCATCATTGTAAGCTAACTGAGCAAGGGTGGTTTTGCCAATCCCTCCTAAACCAACTATCGGAATGACTTGAACAATTCCAGGACTTTGGTTTCCCTCGTTCTCCAGAATCAGCTTCAATATTTCTCCCTTATCCTTTTCTCTACCAAAAACCTCAGTGTTGATTATAAAAGACCCAGTTTGTCTCCTCCCTCCAAGTCCAAGGAAACACCCTTTCACACAATTCACCTCCTTCAAATGAAAACTTGACATCTCACCAATTAGTGCATCAATATTCTGCCTAATGCGTTTCAACTTACGGAATAGTTCAAGGCAACAAGCATATGATCTAAAAGAAGAAACGCATTACTTACAAAGCCACGGCGAAAGTGGCGAGATGGTGATGACAATTCATCAGAAAAATGACTTATGCAGAACTCATCAAGCAAGTCATCTGCATCATAAGCTACACCTCTTAGCTCTGAGAGCCATAACATGAGAGCTTTGTCACTTGTTTGTTGTTGCTCAGCATCTTCAATCAGCGGCTGAATATGGCGTAAGGCACGTCTAAGTTTGTCAATTTCATCGCCAAAACCGCATGCCTCCGCCACGAGCTTCAAAATATGGCTTGTTACTCTCTCAAAGATCACTTGCAACAGTGGGCACACCACTATTTCTACCATTGAAGCCAATAATGAAGTGTTCAAACTAAACAATCGAAACAAAGAAACAAGACCCAGAACTTGACTTGCTGAACAAAACTACCATAGTAAACAAGAAAGTAACTTTTTCTTCCTACATCACAATCATGGTTGAAGTGATGCATTACTAGCTCACAAAAAAATCTTGTGTCTGTTCTGCTACGGTGTTCCAATCTGTAGCATGAATTGACACGTTAACAAAAAAACTAAATATTGTGATCGCATTTTTTTTTATTTTTGTTAAATTTATTTGATAAAATCTTATAACCAATTATAAAGTTTATGTGGTTCTTTAACATTTGATCATATTATCTTACTTAAAATATAAATTCGGAAACGAATACCCATAACTCAATAAGTCAACTGACAGGATAGCATTGCTAGATTGTGTTCACAGAATAAATAAAATAAAATAAAAAATATTGCATGAGACTCTGAATTTAGCCACACAATTCTTATGGTTTGACACTTTGACTCATGACTTACGATAACTCATCAAAAGGAATCAAGGGTTAACCCAACAAATTTTCGCTAATACGTAACGTAATTCTCTCGATAACATACTTATTTTATATTAAATTTACCGTATCACTTGTCTATGGAGTTCTCTTTGAAGGAAATCATTGTAATGATAATTGTAAGATTATTATTTTTGCCTTTCAAATTTAAAGTCAATTTTAATATCGTTTTTAAATTTTTATTGTTTATCAAATTAATTTTTTCATTATATTTTTACTTTTTTTTATTAAAAAGAAATAGTGAATTAGAGGGATTTCCTACAACGCCTGTATTTTTATGTTGAAATGAGTTCACAACTTCTGTCATTTACCTATTCAGACAGAGAAATTTTCAATAACCGATAGCCTCAACAGGGAAGCGTATTGTTTTCATTACAAAAGAAAGGGGAATTTTTTTAGAATTTCGGCACTACACGAATAAA